GGAAAAGATCAATAAAATTAAAAAAAAAAAGCATTGAAAGAACTCCTGTGTGCTGAGGGCATTGGAGGCATATGTGAATTATTAAGCAGAAATAGGAAATATTTAAAATGGATTCAAAATTTTATATTAACTCATTAAACAAGCTATAATTAATAACAATAAATATGCCTCAGAATAGACCAGTCATGGTAATTTCGAATCAGAACAAGATTTAAAAAAAAAAATTATAAAATTGCCATGGCTGGGCCAGACTAATCAAATGATTGACCCCTTATTGTATTTATTTTCATTATTTATTTGTTTGTGAAATGTGATGAATTTGTTCTCAAGATGTTATTTATTTGTTGTTAATTGATAAAATAATCTCATATCTAATATATACATGTGAAAAATAAAATGTACTGGAATTACCACCCGCCTTACCCTCCCTGTGAACATAGGACCTGATTATATGAACATATGACTGAAACCAACTAATATAATATTGATGATATTAAACTCTAGGACAATTGGTAGTATGCTGACTAAGCTAGTACTAGTCACAGGCGCTCGGAACGTTTCTTGGCTAATGCACGAGCCTCTGCTTCAAATATACAGCGTAGACGCACGACGTATCAGAGGCTCGTGCATGCGCAGCTCCACCCATGCGCAGTTCCAAACATTTACGCATGCACGAGCCTCTGCTTCAAAATATCCGCGTAGACGGGTTGATTCATATTGCTCTGGTGTTTCGATTTTCACAGGATTTAACCCATTTTAGTTCGAATAAAGGAAATGTAAGTCGATCGATAGTTTCTACCGATATCATGCTTGAGTTGTGTGAAGCGGATCGAAATATAATTTGGAAAATCGTGTTATTTTCGGGAAGTTTCGATGTCATGGTGTCAACGCTTTCCTACCTTGTGTTATTATATGAGTAGTAGGGAAATTTACCGGCGACTGACTAACTATGCCGATCCCACTTTAGGTCATTTTATATTATCCTGGAAACGTTCCGAGCGCCTGTGGGCGAGAGTGCCACAGTGGTGGAAGACGATTTTGTCCAGGCAGCAGCGGGAGTTCGTGTCCGTGTTAACAACAGCGACGACATTGAACATGATCCTGAAACTCGGCGAAGAATTGTAAGATTTGCGCGTATGAGAGTTGGTGAAATAGTCAGATACAGTACTTCCGGAAATCCCGTGTACACGCTAGTAAGACATTGTCGTTATGGACGACATCAGGCATGGATCAATGAGGTTAGTATATCATGACCCGGATGTAAGTAGACCGAATAATTTGTGTACGTGTATTGGCATTGCGGCAAAACAGCGCCCGCTACGCCTCATGTAAACACAAACAGTGGCGCCCTCTATCTAGGAAACTATTTTGCGAAGTAAATATGCATCCGTGTATGAGTGGATATTTGTTGTGTTTGCTGTAACTCAAAAAGTACTGCCTTGATTATTATGAATGTTTGACTGAATTTTGTTTGCTCGCCCGTTTCCAAAAACGAATATGAAGTTAAATATGCAAGTCCAAAATGTGAAAAAAAGTCCGCAAAATAACAGTATAAGTAGGCGTCTATATTTTTATATATTCGAAATAATATTTTTCTAAGTGCTCCAAGTTTACGACATATAACATACTGTGGAATAACATGAAATGTCAGTTGAGTGCGTGTTATTGTATAACTTTAAACAACTGTCGAAAATGCAATTTGAACAATTTCCGTAATATTCCATATTAAAGCACTATTTCAAAAAAAATACTTCGTCATAATTTCCATAGAGCCTATCGCAACAAATGATTGTTTTCGCCATATGTAACCAGCACACTTTTCACGACCCGAGTACGAACGTTTGCCTGTCTCACATTAAATAATTCAGATTGCGCATTAAATATCTCCTAACACTTAAAGCGGTGGTGTCGTCACTTGCGCATGTGTCATTGTTTACAAACAATCGTCTACCCATGAGCCTTTGCTTGTTAAGCACGCGTTGTTATCGTCGGTTGGGACTCAATTCTCGCGCGTGCGCAGGTGACGACCCCTCCGCTTTAAAAACTATGAACGCAACATAAATTGTTCGGATTGTTGTTGGTGAATTGTTGTTCTCTCTACCCCTATAAGCCATCTAGTGTGATGTTCGCATCTAGCACATTGTATCAACGCAATTAGTTTCAAAGAATCCTGTTCGATATGGGACTCATAGCGACATATACGCGGGGAAAATACATTGTTTATTTACATTTACATAAAATTGAACACGCGCTGCACGACGACCACCGTCCTTTAAGTGTCAGTAGTAGCTGCTGCATATAATTTAATATAATCATAATTTTGCTGTCATCAAACCAATAACTAGTGAATACAATAATTATTGTTTGTTCTTAAAAATAAATTAAAGCGGGGGAGTCGTTACCTGTGCATGCGTCAGATGGCCATAGCGTGTCATTGTTTACAAACAAACGTCTATTCATGAGCCTTTACCTTTTAGCGTGTGTTGTTTATCGTCGCTTGGGACTCAATTCCCGCGCGTGCGCAGGTGACGACCCTCCTGCTTCAAGTCATTATATGGCGCTTGAGCTTGAAGAAAATGACACCATGTCGTTAATATTTTTCAGGAGAAAACAAAATGGCGATGGGTTATGAAAGTTTCCTCGTGGCAAACACCCGAAGAACTTCAAGAACATGCCAAACCCGGGGACATCATTCAAATGCAATACGCCCTTTGTACACATGCCGGAATCTTCATCGGGAAAATAAAAGGTGTTCATATGATAGTTCACTCGACCGGGAGTCCTGGACAACTTCTGAAAGACGGCGATGTTTCCAGGGTGAAAGAAGAACCATTCGCCGAGGTCATGAAGGGCGTTGAAGTACGCGTTAACAACAGTGATGACATCGAACACACCCCACTGAGTACAGCGAAGATAGTGAAGAGAGCTCGTAACAGAGTCGGTGAATTGTATAAGTTCGATCTACTCTACCACAACTGTGAAAACTTCGCTACACAGTGTCGATATGGGAGTGAAACCGGCTGGACCATACAGGTACGTATTGCGCCAAACTAGTTAAAGGGGCGGCAGTCGTCGTGCCGCGTCCTGTTCGATATGGGACTCATAGCGACGTATACAACGCGTGTAAAATTGATTGTTTATTTACATGAAATTCGAACACGCGCTGAGCGACGACCACCGCGCTTTAAACCGTTTTTAATATACCGAAATTGCAGATTGCCAAGTCCATTGCCTTCTCGTGATATGATGCAGCATTGCTCCTAAATCCAGTACTCTTGAAAGGCATTCCAAGTGTATTCTGTGTTTCATGCGTGCAAGTGTATCCCAGAACTGACTAGCATCCTTCATGTTGTTTTATCCGAATCACATTGATTGCATTATGTAATGACGAGTGACGTAATGTAAAAGATAAATAACGCTTTTGAGAATACATATTTGAATAACAGTACGTATATCTATTGTTAATTCATTTCAGGGCGAAAGAATAACGGACGTTCTCGAGAAGCCGATAGAACTAGTGGACAGCATTCGAGACACCGTGGAAGATATCGTTGATTAAAGGGTGGTAGTCGTCGCGCCACGCATGCGCGAGATATATGGGTCTCATATAATTAAAGATTGCGACTTTGGCGGTTGCGCAGATCAACGAGTACAAACTGAGACGTTATCGAGCTTATAGTATAGCCAAGGGTATTTTTAGGTGATTGGAAGGTATCAAAAGAGTCACTGGCGGTAATTAGTGCAAGTTGAGCCCAGGTCAAACCTCATACTTGTTATTTCCATTAGAAGAGCGCATTGGATTGTGGGACAATCAATGTTTATCAACACAAATGCCACACATGCGCAGCGCGACGACCATTGCCCTTTAAGTGTCGGGAAATCATTCTTTCATTTACATTGTTATCCAGCATGTTTATGTCAGTTTTAATATTATATTGTCACTGTGAGTATGAATGTCTTGTTTCAGCTAATCAGATTGTCACTGTGAGTATGGATGGCTTGTGTCAGCCAAACAAGTTGTCACTGTGAGTATGA